AATTGCGATATTTCAAAGCACTGAATTAATTAACTAATTCTGGAGAAACGTATGAAGTTATCGGAGACCCGAAATCTACAAGAGAAAGTATTTGGTTAAATTTCGAAAATCGTCGAAAATGGGTCGAAATTTGCATGACAAAAATTTTATTTTTGAAAAATTTTCCAAAAAATTCTAAAAAAATTCAGGGATATATAACCCTGATTCCAAAAATATACCATGTTTATGGTAACGGAGCAATATTTTCGGAAAATTCGCTGTGAAATTCGAATTTTTCGAAAATTTTTAAAATTGCGATATTTCAACTGGACGATACTGGAAAAATGGTTTAAGTTATTGAAGAAATGAAGCCAGAAGTGACTTCTGAGGTCCAAAATTTACAAGAAAATATATTTAGTTAAATTTCGAAAATCGTCGAGAATGGGTCGAAATTTGCATAATGGAGGTAATACGAATACATAGTGGAAAATTTCATTTTTGAAAAATTCATCTAAAAATTCTGAAAAATTTCAGGGTATAGATCCCGGGGTGTTTATTCCAAAAAGATAGCGTGTTTATGGTCACGGAGTAATATTTTTTTAGAATGTATCTATTACCCATTGTTGCTTAAGAATTCTTTAATTTTTGTTTAATAAAACTTAGGTTTATTTCTTGAAGTTTGTTTTCAGTTGTATATGAAGTTGTTATTCAATTTTCAGATTTTTGGGAAAATTGCTGATCCGAACAAATCGTTAATCCGAACACACCTTTTTCCCAATTAGGAATTAAGGTTATCGAGGCTCTACTGTACACTGTACGTGTAATGAAAAGAATCAAATGTCACCCATGTTATGTAAAAAAGAATATACTAGCTAAAATTTTATAAATTTTTTTGTTTAGAACGAATTTCTGGTGGATAGGTATAGTCACACAAAAATTGCCCCCCCCCTGAACGAAATCCTGTATCCGCGCCTGGAAGTTAAGCATGTGCTGAGAAATTGAGAGTATCAACATAGTTTCGTGCGAATTACGTGCCTAAAATATATTTCATATTGACCATATTTTTGCTTTATAGAGGTTATCAAAACGAAAATCGCAAAATCAAATTTTATTTATTTAATTAAGGCGAAGTTCTGTCGAAATAGCCTTCAACCAATGTTTTTACACATTTTATTCGAATTGATAATATAATCAACGTCACCATTAGCGATGCAAAAAAACGGTTTTTATTTGTTTATTTCTTTTTGTTTATAAGTTTACAAAGTTGTAATTGGTCCATCCATAAAGACAAACCCATGTTTTGTAAGTTATACCAATTTTAATAAAAATAGTTAAAGCTATCATTGGAAAAAACAAAAATACTTATTATAAATTATGGCCAACTCCATTAATCTCTAAAGAGATATATTTTGCCTCTGTTTTTCTTAACATACGTAGTCTTTTTTTCACAAGAAGAAACTTAAAACATGTTTAACGTCATCGTAAATTTTTGTAGGGAAATATGGATTCTGCAATTATGCTCCGCCCAGGGCCGGCTTAACACGGTAAGCGAAAGATGCACCGCATCGGGGCGCCCGTGACAAAGGGCGCCGGGCGGCGGGCGCCGCCTATGCTGTTATATTAACTCTATAAAAAAAATAATATTAGTTTTGCATTGAATCACTACCAATAAAATATTATAGCACTAACAGACCAAGGCGCCCATCGAAAACTTTTCAGAAAAAGCTACATTTTAACATTCCACTATGACCACCAAAACAGATCCCGAGAAGTCAATTCTTGGCACTTTCAGACTGTAATAATTGAAAAAAAATGCCCCTTTGGGTTGGGTGATGAGACCTTTAGATCAATACCGACAAAAAATAACCAGATTTATGATGCATTATCTGGGTAACAATTTGACGAGACAGCGGTATGACCACACCCAGATGTTTTTCCTAACATTTGTCACGTTTGTTTTTACCATAAGTCCATGTCGGCATACTTAAAAATTTTATTTTCCAAGTCTAGTCGGTTGGTTTTGGTTGTGGTGATTGTTCAACAGTTTTGTTATATTTTTCACTGTTCCTCTTTGTAGCCGAATTTGGTTGTGTGTATCATTTCGTGGCTTTTTGTCATCATTAATTTTAAATTTAAATTTCGATGAACATTGAGGTAAGTCTAAATTAAAAATAACTTTGAAATCGTATCAATTTTACAATATTAAAAATTGAAAAACGTTTGCAATATAAATATTTTTTTATTTATACTATATATAGATTAGGAAATATCGGTGTACCCGATATTTAAAATTTTATTGACAATAACGAGGCGGACAGTAGTACTGTGGTAAGAAATATTTATGGCTCACACCAGTCCCCCCGAATTCGTAGGAGAACATTTAGCAGGTAATTGTACGCATAGGATCGGACTTCCGCTGCTTTAGAAATTTAAGGTCTGCGGATTACCGCCATGCGACAACTTTAAGTTGTAAATATCTCTTGCTATTGTACTACTGTCCGTCTCGTTATTGGCAAGAAAATTTTATAGGGTACAACGATATTTCCTAAACTATAGAAAAGTTATTGCCCGCAGCTCCATTTGCGTAGAATTTGCAATTAGGACTCATCATTTTTCATACATGATCGTTTTCCGGGTTGGAACCGTGTAAATTGGGTTTTTGGGCTCAACGTTTCGCACACTTTTCATCTTCAGGAGCAGGGTTAAGAATAAGGCAAAAGAGCACGGTAACTCAGTATGTTAACCATACCAGAGGCGAAACTCTTTTGAGAAATTACACGGTTCCAACCCGGAAAACGATCATGTATTGATTTCGACCGTGAAAGCCTCCGAAATTATCATTTTTCATCTCGTTCACTCCTCTCTCCCCAGTGAACCCGTCTGACTTAAAAACTCACGGCATTTCTGCACAAAGCTTCATCTCCTATTTTGTCCCCGTAGGGGCGGAAATCTTTTCTTAATGGGTGTTTATGACACAAAAGTAACCTACTGTCCAAATTTCATGTTTGTAGCTTCAGTAGTTTAGGCTTTGCGTTGATGAATCAGTCAGTCTGTCAGTTAAGACAAACATTTTTATATATTAAGATTGATTCATCATAATTTTATGCATGTTTGTTAATAAAAAGTATCTCTCTACAAAAATATGTGATTACAAAATTTTATTTGTTTTTTTTTTACAATTTTTTTTTAAGGGCGTTGAACAGTAAGTTTGCATCGGGGCGCCTGGTCCCTTAGAGCCGGCCCTGGCTCCGCCCCTCAAACAATGTTTCGTATGATAATTTCTTATAGAGAAATAAGGATTTTGCAGTTAAGCTCCGCTCTTCGGCCCACGACGAATAGAAAAAATTATCACAATTGACATAGGGTGGGTGGGCGGGGCTTATATTTTGCGTCTGTTTTTCTTAACATACGTAGTCTTCTTTTCACAACAAGAAACTCAAAACATGGTAAATTTTATTGGTGAAATATGGATTTTGCAATTATGCTCTGCCGCTTGATCCTACAACGAATGAAAAATTTATCACAATTGAGATCGGTGCGGACATTGGTGGGACTTAATTTTTGGCTTTCTTTTTTACATAATACATATAATTTTCTTTGAACAACACAATGACTTAAGAACTTGTTTTACATGGTAATTTCTTGTAGAGAAATGAGGATTTTGCAGTTAAGGTCAGTCCCATGCTCATGACGAATAGAAAAAGTCATCACAATTGAGATAGGGTGGGTGGGCGGGGCTTATATTTTGCCTCTGTTTTTCTTAACATACATAATCTTTTTTTCACAAGAAGAAGCTTAAAACATCTCTTTAGAAACTAATTGAGTTGGCCATGCTTTAATTTTATTATGGCGCCATCTGTTAACGGGCTATAGAATCAACCTGTGACATGTTTCATAACCTAACTTTAAGGTAGGGGGGAAATCATATCTTCATATATGTATGTACATTTTATGTATTACAAATAGACGATAACTTATTTATTAAATGCATGTTCTTAGAAAAAAAGAAAAATTCATAAAAACTTACGGGAATAAAAGAAAGACAATTTAAAACAAAAAAACCTATCCTATGTTTAAAACCAATAAAACAAATGTTTTTTTTACACTCACATCACTAGTCACCATTAGGTGTTTTTTTTAAAGAACTATAAATGTATCTTTTTCTTTTCGTTAAAATTTTGCGTCTAATTACTCGTATTAAATATGCATATATGCCTGTTGTGTTTATTTTATATGTGCTTTGTTTGGATGTGTCATGGGGTTTACTTTCAACCCTAGAGGATGTAATCTGTGAATCGATTTTTTATTTAATCCATTCTATGTAGTCTTTGTTAAAAATTCTTGATAAATTGGGACGTAAGTAATTAAATGTTGCTTGTTTCCTTGCTGGTAATTCTGGTACTTATCCAGATATCGTTCTTAGTTCAAGACATATAGAATTTGATTTTTAATTGAACTAAAAGCACTAGATTGCGTGGCAAAAGTGGAACGCACGGTTTCCAGTCAAAGTCAAATTTGCCCAAATAGATTTTTGTAAATTTCTAAAGAATCCCGCGTCTGCGCGAAACGAACAGTTTAATTATATAGTCCAGAGTATAATATGCGGCAGGTTTTTGAGCATAGAGATGGGAAATAAATCCAGATTTTTAACAGTTTTTCCGTCTTCAGAACGGAGGAATAAATTACACGCCTCCTTACTTTTTATTAATTTTTAGTATATTGAACAGAATGATGGTAAAATTTTGAGTTTTAAATGAAATTTTCAAAATGCGCTCTTGCTCGGGATTATACTTGCTCTTTAATTCCAGAACATGATTAATCAAAATAATCTTGTTATTTTAGTAGAACCTACAATGCACATATTTTTTTATTAAATTAAATTTATTTATTATTACATTTTTAATTCGTCCGTTATACAAAGATTTTACGTAGTAAACGAAAACACAGAGGGAAAATAAAACTTTCCTTCAATTAACAATACACGCATCTGCTACCGCGCAACGTATCGATTTCCCCGAAATCATATGTTAAACGTCTTTTCGAACAAGAAGCGTTTTCAAAATGACAGCACTAGCACCGTTCATTTATACTTTGTTAATTTACACTTCAACCGCATCAGTTTTATTGTGGAGCAAAGATACAGTGGAAGTTTCGCCCCTCGACACATTCACTGATGAAGATCTCCTAACTTTGGTTAAAAAACTGGGAGACCCGGAACTGGTTATATACAAGAGCTCGTCTGAATTACTACCAAAATTTGAAGAACTTTTAGACGGTTACCACAAAGCTTATAACCCCAACGATGACATAAACATAGAAAATGCGACAGGTTTGTGACTTATCTCAAGTGAAGTATGAAATGTTCGTTTTAGAGATTTCAGGGTTAGAAGACTTGTCGCTTTTGGAAGCAAAACAGCAAGAGGATTTGTCTACAGGTGTTAAAATTTTATCGGTCCTTGTCGTTCAAAATATGCGTCGAAAGCGCGATGTGACGTCTCCTTCTAGCTCGACTGAGCCGTCTGGAATGTCTCCAACAGGACCAGTGTTATACAGAAGCCAACATAAGGATAGTTTTTACAGTTTGATTTATTCGTCGCAACCTCTGCTTCTGAGGAGTGCAAATTCTACCATAGAACTAGGAGCTAGTGTTTCTGCAACTATTGCTATACAAAGCAAGGATTCGTCGTCACGGCTCGACACAACTATTTTAGTTGGAGAGGAAAAAATCATTCTTCAGTTCACTTTCTCGTGGCAGAACACGTACTGGTCTTTAGCTACCGTGAAAATGAAGAGCACCATGAGCAATTCTTCTACTAATTTGACAATCACGGAACCTTTTCAGGTTCCAATACGTTTTTCGTACCATTGTAACGGCATAACGGTTTTTGCTGACGCAGACAGAACAACCGAGTTACTCATATATGATATGCAAGCGCAACCAGATTCGAAAGATGGCGCTTTTGGCGATGTGTACGATTGTGTAGATTTTACTACAGCACCTATATGGTCGGGACTTTTTGTCACAGCGATTTTAGGACTAGGGTTAATTATAGCGCTAATCGCAATCAGCGAAATTAAAACGATGGATAAGTTTGATAACCAGAAGACGAAACAACTAGCCATTACTGTTTCAGAGTAATCTTTATTTAATAAATAATACTTAATTAAATATTTACAAGATGTTTCCCTCATTGATTAGGACGGCATACATATCAACTAATGCAAAAACTACAACAAACACATTAGTTGTTATTTTTAGAGGAAAACTTCATTCAAACTTCAACAGTATGATGGGATCATGAAACTTGGTTTTGAGTTCTGAAGAGGTTTTTTATCTTTAGGACACACCGTGATGCTAGAAAATTATTAAATATAGTAGAATTGGTTACAAAAAGACACTATTTTTTACCTTTCTCCAATTTCAAGAGCGATTATATTGATGAATTCTACGTAGATCATAGGTACGGCCAAAATCCTCCACGTTAATGGGTTGAAAACGCTATTTTGATGTTGCCATTCCACTTCTACAGCTTTTAGTTTTGAAATTTGGTCGGTCGGAACTATTGCTGTGTATATTTTTCCGGGCTCGTGGTAGCCACCTTTGTTTAAAGGTGCCGAGATGGTTTTGGGACCTTTACCATCAGTTGTAGAATGCATGGTGAAAACTAATTGGCCGACTTCGCCTCCATGTCGCACACTTTCGTCGGATGTTGAAATTTTTACTGTTACTTTGTAATGAGCTCCTATGATGAATGGTTAATGAATTAAATAAATGTGTTTTTATAAAAGAGCTATATTATTATCCGCGTTAAAAAATACTTACTGCAATAAGGTCGTTTTTCTCCTGTTATCAAATACATTACTAGGTTAGTATCTGGCTTAATTAATTGTTTTCTGATTAAGTCGTTGTAATCTTTTCGCCCGTGATAACCAAATCGGATACATCGTTCGTTTCTCCTGCCACAGTCAAAACATTTCCCAGCCAAGAACTCCTATAATTCAAGTGTTATTATAGTAAAAAAATGGTAGCACCATAACCCATAACTGTTATATGGAGGGGATGATACAATGAAAATAAGAATTTCCGCTAAATCAATGTGTGCGTCGCGAAAACTCCCACTGGATATTTTATTAATCATAACACATATAGTTATTGAGGTCTAATTTCATGTTTTCACTTGTCGGTCGTCTGTTGTCTATTTTATTACATAGATAATCTCCAAAATGACTGGATTGATTGTTGTACATTTTTATATACAGTGTGATATATCGATATCTCATTAATAATTATTATTAGATATGGAAAAAAAGTCAGAGACTACGTTGTAGGCATCCACTAAAATGATTATAGCCTATTCAGAGTATTTTGTTTCTGAGGTATAGTACACAACATTGTTTTTTTATATAGAATATCCTATATATTTTTACATACTCTTATTAACTAACTTTTTCCTAAACTGTATAACCAAAGTTTATTTTTGAAATTTCTATCCAACGTTGCCACGTTATTAATTTTTTTAGCAATGCAAGGGTCCACAAAAAAAACGCAATAACGTTATTTTTAAGATCTGTGTTACAATATTTAATTTATAGAAAGGTAACGTACAGGCTTTGTTATGGTATCAATTAAGTGAAATATTAATATAGTGTTTAAAAAAACCTTTATAATTTTCAAATATGAATACTTCAGTTTTTCACATAGAACACCCAGTATTTTATTATTGCACTTACATTATTTTTTATAATCTTAGTAAAGGAGTTCAAGAACTATCGACTTTAAATTTAACAAAAAAGAAAGAGAACAGAAAACAGAATAAGATGCAGTAATAAAATACAGGATGTTACAACACTCCGTATATTAAACCCCATTTTATTTATATCACAATACAACGCGGATTTTGTAATACAGATTTTAAAACTAACACTACTGAATTTTTTTGTCAACCGTTGGAATAAGGTAGCTTCATGGCATTGGAATTTTGAAAATAAACTATGATTATAAAGCTTAAAAAGAGATCAATCAGAATATCACAAAAATATCTAGGATATACCATTTGAAAAAACTAAGTTGTGATTTAAAAACAGATCATTCTGTATAGTTGAAAATAATTTTAATATAATGTATGGTCTTCAAAGAACTGTACAACTTTGGTCTTGGACTTTTTTCTATTCTTCATAATTAATGAGATATCGAGGAGTGAGTGCTTAGTGACCCACCTTGTATATATTTTAAGAACACTGTGTAGATGCTAGAACGCAATACAAAACTTATCACTAAAGAATTGATGACATCATCTCAAAATGTTTTTACTAGTAAATTTTATTCAAATGTACAAATTAATATGCTTTTGGATCTTTGATTTATTAATCTTATTTTTAACCTTATGCATGTATGTTTTTGGAAAAAAAATTAAAATTGTACAAAAAAAATTGCAATTTAATTTAGAAACTACCCCCAAAAACTTTGAAGATTATCGTGAACATGGTAAAATGGCACAGTTTAACTTGTTCATTCCTTCCAATATTTGACGTCATAACAAAATTTTATGATTTTGGCATGAAATTTCTAGTGATAATATGCACCTTTATTTCTGGTTTAAAAGTTAACTTTGACAATAGTAACATTGGTTTAATGATACGAACCAACGATTATTAAATTTATTCATTCTTTGCCTCTAGAAAGTTAATGACGTCAGCGCAAAAAATTATTAAATGTTTGTTAAAAAAATGTTTTCTGCCATGCAACGTTGCTCTGCTTTAGTAATAAATTAATATTGAACTCTGTATACAGGACATTAAAAAAATGCTCAAAGTCAACAATTCCAGAGTTTTTTTTTTTTTTAATATAAAATTTGATATGTGAAATTTTATTTATTTTTTCATAACCCCTTTAAATTAAAAAATGTCCATGGAGATGGGATTTGAACCCATGATGGCCTATTGAAACACGTGGAAATTATTGCACATCCATTTTTGTAAATAATTGCGATAAAAAAATTAAAGCTGACTCATAAACTACACAAGTACAGGAGTATCTCTATTTTTATACATAAAACATTTAGATGATATTTACTAAGCAAAATCCTGAGGTGACGTCATCAAATTGTTGGTGAAAATGATTATGTTAATTTTAGTTAGCGTTTCACCATCTAGCTTACGATCGGGAAGTAAAACGCTCATGAATGAATCACCAATTTTATTGATTAAACCAGAAATGATTGATCTAATTTTCCAAAAATTCTGTGAACACAGTAATATTTTTACTTTACTTTACAAAATAGCATACTTCTGCACTTGGGGTTTATGAATCCGTGTTGAGTTTTTAGTCTAGACATCCAGATTTTTAGAAAAAAAAAATCAAAACTGTACAACAATATTTTGCAATTTATCTTTAAAACTACAAAACCGAATCCTCTGAAATCTGGCAAACGTTTTATGGTTATTGTAAAAATGGTAAATGGTTAATCAAAATTATTCAATAAATCCTACCTCAAATGTGCAAAATGTTATGAGTCTACACTTGTGTTTATCAAGCATTTTTATACAGGGTGATTAAAAAAAAATTCTAATAGAAACACTCACTTGAAACATTTATTTACTTTAACATTAGACACATATCTTGATTTTGACTTATAGTGGTTATCATAAAAAAATTGGTCGAGCAGTTTAGGAGATTACGTGTTTAATAAAAGACGATACAGACAGACAAAGAGACGGAAACGGGAGACTACTTTTTTCGTACTATCGGGGTCATGAAATGTCGAAAAAACCTAAAAGTGGCAATTCGTCCGATGAACTTCGCTTGCGTTCGGGGAGTAATAAAATAAAGTTCTCAAAATCAAATAATTTTTCAAAAAAGCTGAATATGTCGGTCGTATTATACATAATACACGGTGGAGCGAAATTCTGTCTAAATAACCTTAGACCAATTTTTTGTGTTAATACATATGTAGGCATTATCGCAATTATCAGAAGAATAAAGTTTATACAATTTGAATCAATACATTTTGAAATCTCATTGTTATTTTATTTGGTGGGATCTAAAATTTTTAGGAATTCCTGGATACGAAGGAATCTTATATTTTCGTTTATGTTATTGAATTTTCAATGGATTTTTTAAAAATATTTATGAGATAATTTACCTTTCAGAAAGTATATTTTACAAATAAAACAATAATAGAGCAAATGTTGACAGAAATAACACAAATACGAACTGAAATAGTATCACTTAGTTTTAATTATCTCAATTCATACAGATATCGACGAACATTATTACTATATTTACAACAATCAATAATCGTTATGTAAATAATTGTTTACGTTCCAGGCTCAATTTATGACTATGCCGCCTTTCTGAAAGATTGACTATACTATGGACAACGAGAAAAAATTGTCACTTATTTCAACTTTGAAGCAGTACACACACAGTCAAATCTGTGTGCAGAAATAATTATCCTGCTGATAAAAAGAAATTTCCAATATATGTATCAAGTTTTTGCATTTTAATACTAAATCATTAATGGATCTATCCAAATTGTGCATACAGGTATATATAATGTTTTTAATTTATCCCCATTATTCTTTCTTTTATTACTAAAATCAAGATTAAGTGCTCAAAATAATTTTTTTTGTATAATATGTACGTATAATATAATAGAAATGTGTTTCACTAAAATTATCTGAACTTTCATTTGTAAATTTTTCAAAATTTAGTTAGTGTCATCGTTTTTTCACTTCAGATGCGTATAGTGGTCACATATTTGCGATTAGTAGACCAAGTCGAATAAAAATATAGATAATAATAAGGCACAATTTTTAAAAGACAATAAATGTAGCAGTAAAATTAACAAATATTAAAAATCATTAAATGGATATTTTGTGCTTAAAGTTTATTTTAAATTATGTTAAACTTGATAACTTTACTTTCATTAACTTCAAGTATCATGTGTACGAATTTAATTTTGATTTCCTGTCAGTTTTTTATGCAACGCACGCCACATCGCCCCAATATCAGATCGCTTATAACAAACATATTTACCTCATATGAAGGACACCTCACTGTCAAATATCGACACCCTCCCTTCGGTTTAATACTTTCAAAAAAAATCTCATGGCTTCTCAAATGGTTGCATCCCAAGTACCTGCGTATACCTAAAACCCCAAATTAGTAATAAGAACCCATCAGTTGTGAAAATCTACCCAAGAAGAAACTTCCTTTTGCATCTGCAATGTATTGAGCCACACTTTTACCACACCCCGGCTGGTTACTACCCCCATTAGGATAGTAATCCACGTGTCCAATTTTTTCTATTATTCCTAAACCTCCTCGAATAAAGTGACTGGCGTCGGTGTGGACCACATCCACATAATAGGCGGCACTACGATCCAACCGAATGGGCGGTTTAGCGTTGGCGAAGTGCGGTTCGGCTGGGTCTAGACCACTAATACGTCCTAGCGTTAAATTATAATTCTAAAACACACTACTATGTTCTAAATGTCAAGAGAAATTTTGCCCGAATACCTGTTGTAAGGCATATCCGACGTAGCCACACATGTGAGCCCCCAGAGAGTGACCAACACAGTGCACGTGATCCAATTTTTTATACCCTGTCTTTTTCGACAGTTCGTATATGAGATGGGTAGTTACAGCTCCTACGAGCCTGATATTCGCCACCGCTTGCGTGTAATGGGGCCCAGAACCCCCATGCCAGTCCACAACGATCACCGAGCAGTCCTCAAGGTCTAAAAATTCGTTGGCCATTTCTAAAACCTACCTAAAGTTTTTACGAGTTTTGACGGGGTCACTCTGGTTACCCAAGGGATTCCGCCGCCTTCCATGTACCCATGTGCGATCACATAAATAGGCTTGAAGAAATCGATGTCTGAGTCCCCGAAAACGTCGAAGTCGTTTAAATCGAGCACATATGACGGCGTCCTATGTTTTCTAGTGTAGTAGGGAAACCTCGGCTCCGTCTTCAAACTGTTTGTTATTTTTGTGTCACATGTTTAGTCACACCTACCTTTTCTAATTCTTCGGGGAAGAGCGAAACCGGTCGATGTTCGGAAGTCCACGGTGGCGTTAATTGAAAACACCCGTAACTACCGTAGCACTTTGAAGCGTTGTTGGCTGGAACAATACCTATAAATCAAATTGGTTTGCCACTCACTAGCTAACTAACTTTTTCCGATTTCCATGAAGTAGTAGTTGTAGGAGTCGTCTTCGTTTTGGTAGTTGCTCTGGTTCATTACGAACATGAGAGTTTTTACAAAAATGGACATGTTGGCCGGCTGCATTGTGAATTTTGGTTATGCACAGTGCGGATGTTGTTCAAACTTTTGGTTTGACGAACCGATTATAACGGAACTGAAGTTCTTATCTTGGAAACAAAGTCCGGAGGTCAATCGGGGCATTTTTCCATATTTTGTCTAGTCGCTCTTCGTTTGACGTACGAATCCCGAGTCAAAAAAACACGAATGTTTCGTAATGGATTTATTGTTAATAAAACTGTGTTTACAAACAAATTCAACATCACAAAATGAGGAATGTAAAAATTTGGATCATACTAATAAAAACAATTAACACTCTATTATTAGATGCAATATTAACAAGGAAATTATTTTAGGATGGGACTAACATGTAGAGAGAAGAAGTACATTGAAAGACAAACGATAGAAATATCTAAGAACTCGATAAAAATCTAAATGTCAGAGATAAAAATTTAATGGCGTCCACCTCCATAGAAAAGAGTGACAACTTCCTAAGGACTATCTCATAACAATTGGCGATTTCTCCAGAAATAACTATAATTACTTAATGTGTTTGACGTCGCTTATACCTATTTGTTTAACACATTCATATCACCGATCTCCAAAATTAAACACATTAAATAATAATAGCCCGATAAATTAAGCTACTTCCTACAATAAATATCTAAGTTTACTTAGTTTCTAGTTACAGATAACAGTTACGATTGAAACAAACAACTTGTTTAGAATTCTTGCAGGAGTGCATTTCTTTGAACACGATTATTCGTTTTTTTCTTTTAAATTTATACACAATGTTACTTCTTTAATTGAACTTTTCCTCGTCCGTGTTAACGATAACCGTGACCTTTCGAAAAAAATTCCCACGTCAGAGGCAAATTATTGCATTTAATTGATATTTGAGGCTGATAAGTAAGTCACGTTGTCACAATTTTGTATTTTGGTAGACATGAAGTTCAGCGATGGCCCACCTTGTCTTTTCTAGACTGACCTGACATGATGGAATCAATGTTAGGGTTTATGATACTTACAGATGCGATTCTGTTGATACTAAAAACTATCGTACTGAATATTCCATAGGAATTTCTAGCATTTATTCTACCAAGTGATGTCAGTCTTTGTTTTATTGGTACACAAAACAAAAAACACCAACATAATAAAATGATTGATTCAGATTGAGCTGTTTTTTTTTTTTAATTTTTTGGGTAAGTATTTTGAGTAAAACGACTTGAAATTATCTACAAGTATACAAATTTGTTCCTTAAGTTCACTATATTAATAACAATTTTCTAGTAAAATAAAAGTCAGTTGTTAAAAGTGACTTTTATTTTAGTACTGCTAATAAAAGCGATTTTTCCAATTTTACGCAATAAATGTAGTAAAATGGCTTCTACCGAGCAAAGTCAAAAGTATTTTTGAGTACATTTTTGCTACACTATTTTTTTAGTTCTTTATATATTCGTTGCATAAATACGTTTATAAATCGATCACAATTGCAGTTCATATAGTGAACACTATAAAGCGTGAATAACAAATATTAATAACACGAACAATTTTTTCCTTGTTTTAATGTTGCTTAGCACCCAGTCTAAAAATGTTTAAAAGTGAAAACCATCAAAGCAATTCAAACGTGCACTGAACAACTAGCTGGTCCGCTATTAAATTAAACTATCACATAACTAGGGATCACAAATAATTTATGGAATTACGTACGATGAAGTGCTTTGATGGTGACAGCATTAATGAGTATGCACGACCTAACCTTAACTCACAGCATAGTTGTCGCTAAACCTACTTCAACATTTTCGCAAATGCATACTCTAATGCCTATGAAATGTAATAATCATTAGCGTCCTACACTTCGTAAATCTACATCTCTTATGATATGCTATTGTGACATGTGATGTGTATGTAAATGTAATTGAATATAGCACAAACATATAAATAACGTAGCTTTTCGTATTCAACAACATGTGATGGATGGACCCGACTGCGTTGTTAGTTATCACGTGATCGAAACCGAAAAACATGAACGGTAAAACGGTGCTGTTTCTCTTTTTGCAAACATCAAACGATCGATGAAAAACGAATCAATGTAAGTGCCTGCAGTCGGCTCTTAACAAATTAGGACCGAGCAAGTGAAAATGTGCGGTTATATACAGGACAAAAACATGTAGAGTAGCTAATATTGTCCACAGAGATGGGCACTTTATCGGTTAACAGTCAACAAGGGTTACACGCAACGGAACGACTTCCCACTTGCCCGGCCATTAAAGCTTGGTCAGGTTAACAAGACGATTTTATTTCGTGCTATTTACAAGACGCCGCTTGTAAATATCAGAAATTGCCTACGATCTTTGCAAAATTACAAGACAGCTCTAATACGCCATGCGCGCTCTTACATCAGGTCACATTTGTCTTTGGCGACTCGACTGTTGGCCTTGCCTCCAACTTGGAGACTCACGTTTCGAGATTTCTCCAAGTTGAGAAGCTCCTGGAATAGCTGCTTCACGTTGTGGTTGGTCTTTGCCGACGTCTCCATGAAGCTCACGCCCCACTCCCCGGCCTGACCTTGGCCTTCGGATGTACTCACCTACAGAAAATATAATAAGATGATACAAGTCCTAAAAATGCCACACAATTTTAACAAGTGCAGCACATACGATTGTCGACAAAAACAGAACCCCAATAAATATGAAGTTGCATTTGATTTTAGTGAAATAAATTTTAAATTTGTTTTTAATATGCCAAGCTTTGGAAATAAATAATTAAGATTAAGAAAAACATCCTCTAGTTGGTACTGAAGAAACAAGGAAATTTTTCCATTGTCTACTATTCGCAACGGGGAAGGAATTACAAATTTAGTGTCACTTGCATTTACATTTAATTCTAATACTCCACGCTTACTTCATTTGGAATTTATCAATGTTTAAGTGACACAAAATACGTTATGGTGTATAGTAACTGTTATCGAAATTTTATAAAATAACATATTTCCATACTTGTGGTTTATGAATCCGCTTGGAGTTCTTTCCCTAGGCACCCAAATTTTCGCAAAAAAAATCAATAACAAACTTTTATATTAATATAAGCGGTAACGATTACTATATGCGGCTTGTTTATATTTTTTACTTTTAATACATATGAAGCAGTCAAATGACAGCAAAATTATTTAAACAGAACTTCCCTATGATTGAAATGTGCTATGCTATAAATATTTGGTTAATAAATAATTTTGTGGTGACGTCATGAAATTTTGACTAGAGACAAATTCTAATACGTACAGATTTTCAAAATTTTACTACTATTCTGATTTTTTCAAATTTCATGTTTTTGGGGGCTTTTATGATTGTCATCTTTAAAAATGGTGGATGCGTCCGCACGAATCCGCAAATTTCTCAGCTATTTGTGGACATACAGTAAAAATGAGCAAATATTCATAATCCTGTGAAATTTTCCAACAAGCTGGAGGTCTCCGTAGACCAATTTGTGTAGTTTTAAAATTTTTCTAAAAATGGTGGGTGCGTTCAGATGAATCTCCAATTTTCTCAGTTATTTGTGGATATATGGGAAAAATAAGCACATGTTCGTAGCATTAAGAAAATTTTCGACAAGATGTCTTTCTAGAGCTATTTTAAAAATTCCACCTAAAAATTATGGATGTGCCTGGATAAATCTGCGATTTTCTCAGTTATTTGTACACATATAGGAAAAATAAGCACGGATTCGAGATCCTGAGAAAATTTCTAAAAAGATAGACGTCTCCTAGACCGATTGGTATTGTGTTAAAATTTAGCTAAAAATGGTGGATGCGCCCGGATGAATACCCGATTTTCTGTTATTTGTGGGTACATCGCTAAAATAGGTACAAATTCTTAATCTAAAGAAAACTTTCAATAAGATAGATGTTTCCCTGGGCTGATTTGAACAGTTTTAAAAATTCTACTTAAAATTGTGGATGCGCCTGGATGAATCCGTGATTTTCTCAGTTATTTGTGGACATTCATCAAAAATTAGCACTGAAATCGAAAAATCGAAAATTTAAAATATCGAAAAATTGAAAAATTAAAAAAAAAAGTGAAAAAAGGATGGAAAATTTGAGAATCGAAAATATAATAAATCGAAACAAAAAAAAAATCAAAACATTGAAAAATCGAGTAATCTAAAATTTAAAAAAACCGAAAATTCAAAAATTGAAAAAGTAAAAAATCGAAAATTGAATCGAAATTTTCGAAAAATTGAAGAATCGAAATATTGAAAAATCCAGAAATTAAAAAGTCGATAAACGGCCATGTCGAAAAATCAAAAAACTGAAAATTTAATAATTGAAAAATCAAAAACTTGCAAATTCGAACAATTCAAAAATGGAAAATGGAAACACTAAAAAATAGAAAAACTGAAAAATCGATTAGTCGAGAAATCGAAAGTCAAAATTTAGAAACGCCAAAATTGAAAAATTGGTGAATCGAAATGTTTACAAATCGAAAAATTGAAGAATCAAAAACGTGGGGAATTGAAAACTTTTCGTAAAACTGTAATATCGGAAAATAGAGAAATTGAAAAATAAAAAATTTGAAAAATTCCAAAACTGAAGTACCGAGAAATGGATAAATCGAAAAATCAAAAATTTAAAAATTTGAAAAATCAAAAACTGAAACAACGAAAGATTGAAAAATTGTAAATTGAAAAACTGAAAAATCAAGAAAACAACGAGAAGTCGAAAAATCGAGAAAAATTGTAGAATTTAAAAATCGAAATATAAAAAATTTTTAAAATCGAAAACTCGAAAAAACCAGAAACATTGGATATTTGTAAAATAAAAAAATTATTAAACTGTAAATCTGAAAAATTGCAAAATATGTGATTTTTTGTTATTTGTGGATATACAACAAAAACTTTGCGATTCTGAAAAAATTTCCAATAAGAAAGACATCTTCTGGACCGATTTGTGTAGATTTAAAATTTTGACAAAAATGTGGATGCGCTCGGATGAATCACAGATTTTTTGTTACTTGAGGGCGGGCACATCGCAAAAAATACGTACACATTCCTAACCCAAAGGAAATTTTCAATAAGATAAACGTCTCCCTGGGACGATTTGAACAGTATTACATTCCACTAAAAATGGTGGATGCGCTTGGATGAATCTGCGATTTTTTGCGTCATTTGTGGATATACATCACAAATCAGCACTGATTTGCGATCTTGAGAAAATTTTCGATAAGATACACATCTCGCCGGTCCGATTGTGTAATTTTAAAATTTTGATAAAAATTGTGAATGCGTTTGGATGTATCTCCAATTTTCTCAGTTATTTGTGGATAAATGGAAAAAATAAGCACATATTCGTAGTACTAAGAAAATTTTCAATAAGGTAGGTGTCTCCCTAAAGCTATTTTAACAGTTTTAAAAATTTTACCAAAAATGGATGCGCTTGGATGAATCCGCGATTTTCTCAGTCATGTGTTGACATAAAGCCAAAAAAAAAAAAAACACTGATTTGCGATTCTGAGAAAATTTCCAAGAAGGCAGACATCTCCTGGAGCGACTGGTGTAGCGTTAAAATTTTATAAAAATGGTGGATGCGCCCGGATGAAGCCCCGATTTCTGTTATTTGTGGGCACGTTGCAAAAAATAAGTGCAGATTCCTAATCTAAAGGAAATTTTTAATAAGATAAACGTCTCCCTGGGGCGATTTGAACAGTATTAAAAATTCCACTAAAAATGGTGGATGCGCCTGGATGAATCCGCGATTTTCTCAGTTATTTGTGGACATGCATAAAAAATAAGCTCTGATTTGCGATCCTGAGAAAATTTCTGGTAAGATAGACATCTCGCCGGGCCGATTTGTGTGGTTTTAAAATCATGATAAAAATTGGTGTAAAGAGTTTAGACAGTACTTCCCTCCCTGTCGGAAACGTGACGACTGCATGCCTATTATGTTTTTTTTTCGCAGTAGATTTCAAAGCATTCGGTTTTGTAGTTCCTGAGTAAACCATTAAAATAAATTTACGCATTCATTATTTTTTTTTTAGTCACCCGGTATATGCAAAATCAAAAAATATGAATGGAATGATAAACGACAAGAAGAGATTCATCATATTTTGTACATTTTAGATAGGATTTATTCAGCAAAATTTTGTGGTGACGTCATAAATTTTTTAGGGGGGATGAGTAAATACATTTTGATTAAAAACTTACCACGCTTATGATAACTTTAAAACATCTTCAAGATTTCAAAGCATTCGGTTTTGCAGTTCCTGAGTAAATTAATAAAATAAATTTACGCATTCATAAATTTTTTTGAGTCACCCTTTATATGCAAATCCAAAAAATATGAATGGAGTGATAAATCACAATTACAGACTCATCATATTTTGTACATTTTAGATAGGATTTATTCGGCAAACTTTCGAGCTGACGTCATCAATCTTTTGGAGGAGAAAAGTAAATATATTTTGGCTAAACACTTATTACGCTCTTTACAACTTTAAAACATCTGCAAGATTTCAAAGCATTCGGTTTAGTAGTTCCTGATTAAATCGATAAAATAAATTCACGCATTCATTAATTTTTTTGAGTCACCTGTATATGCAAATCGAAAAAATTGGAATGGAATGATAAATCTCAAGAAGACACTCACCATATTTTGTACATTTTAGATAGGATTTATTCAGCAAAATTTTGTGGTGACGTCATAAATTTTTTAGGGGGACGACCAAATACATTTTGATCACAAATGTACCATGCTTATGATAATTTTAAAACATCTTCAAGATTTCAAAGCATTCGGTTTTGTAGTTCCTGAGTAAATCAGTAAAATAAATTTACGCATTCATTAATTTTTTTGAGTCACCCTGTATATGCAAATCCAAAAAATATGGATGGGGTGATATATCACAAGTACAGACTCAGCATATTTTGTAGATTTTAGATAGGATTTATTCGCCAAACTTTTGAGCTGACGTCATCAAGTTTTTCGAGGGGATAACCAAATATATTTTGACTAAACATTTATTATGCTCTTTATAGTGTTAAAACATCTGCAATATTTCAAAACATTCGGGTTAGCATATTCAAAATTAAATTGCAAAATGTTGTTTCATAATTTTGATTTTTTTTTCCAAAAATCTGGACGTATCAGGTAAAAACTCAATTCGGGGTCATAAACTACACGTGTAGGACTATGTTATTTTATACTATTTAAGACCCATTTACTATGTACAATTTTGAAGTGACGTCATCGCATTAGTGGTGGGGATGATTAGACAAATTTTGGTTAGCGTTTTACCATCTACATGATATTTCTAACATAAGTAAAAAATTTCACAACAATCGGTCCAGTACTTTCGGAGATTATCTATCTAATAAAAATCCGGGACGGCAGACAGACGGAAATGGGAGACCTATTTCTTCGTCTTCTAGGGGCCATGAAAGATCGGTGCTTCCGCTCGGGAAGTAAAAATTGTGGATGCGTTCTGATGAACCCTGATTTTCTGTTATTTGTGGATATACCAGGTGTTTGGAAAATGGCGGAATAATTCTCCGCTGCGCTCTTAACATTCGACTAGTGAGTCTGGGGAAAATAGTAAA